TTAAGGAAAATAAAATACCATCAGAAGATTCAAACAAGTATGATTTCATTTGATACGGACACTTATAGGATGTCCAAAGGAAACTTTCAATTTTTGCAACGCGATTCTTTCTACTTCCTGTAGAGTCACTATCATATTTCATATGCAACATCACTACATACTCTAGTATAACATTTATTTTAACGAAGATAATCTTGATTGTACGACATAGTTAGAAACGCAAAAAATTAAACAATTTTTTTAAAAGAAGCAAATATCATTTTGGGAAACATATATTTTTGATGTTTCGTAAAATTATTTCTAAATAATACTTCTCATATTTTCGATATTATGTACGCGCTCACTATGACCGAAATCCGATCTTCGGTAAAAAACGATTATTAACAGAAAAATATTTTGGTACACTCGTTCAAATAACATTGGTTTTATTGCATATGCATTAATTGATCTTCGGAATCAGTACGCAATAAACGAATGTCACAAGAATTCCTGTTTTTTGAAATCTAAGATATCGCAAACGAGCAATTATAAAAAAATCGTACCGATCAAGTTAAAAGTAATAAACATAATAAAAAATTTTACCTAACCGATTTAAATAAAATCGCACTTGGGAGCCATGATGAAAAAAGAGACAAAGCTCAATTATCGTCACTATATGGATTTATCGTGGAAGCAATCTGGTTTTCATTAAAAATAGGAAAGCAGTAGGTCTCAAAATTTTTGACTGATATCTTGCAAATGTTAAATTTAATATAATATCACATGTGAACAGGATCCGATTGCTCTTAGCCCATTTGCATATTCGCAAATATAACGCCATCTAAATACTTTTCCATCAAATATCACAGGACGAATCAATCTAATGACACAGCAACTTATTGAAAGAAAGGAAGAAAGAAGTTAAATTATGATAAAATATTATAAGCAATGTTTTATACTATTAAGCAAATTATGCATTAAAAACAATATTTTATACTAATAGATGTATGTCAGACATTGGTGAAGTAATATCATAAGAAAGCTGATGAGATAAATTTTTGTTTAAATTTCTCCCTGTCTTTGAGAAAAAGTTTATTGGAACAGAATATCAGAAGGATTCTCTGTTAGAATATCTGATGGTATGTTAAAAATGAAAATATGGATACATTAAATATTTTAAATAAAAATTAGTATCAAAATTATTTAACCAAATAAGTAAATTTTAAAGAAAAAAGTCAGCACTTTTCGACAAAATTTTCAAATATAGCTTTCCCTTCAATTCTCCGACTTGTGTCTGCATTGCGCGAGTGCTTGTATACTTGTTTGCATGTAAAATTAAACAGAATTTTAAAATATAATTTATAACTGAATTTTTCAAAACTTAATTTAAATATTCATATAAAATAGAATTATTACTTTGATAACATTAATTAATTAATTAATTAATATACACCACCTTACTTATATAAGTAAATAGTATATATTTTTATGTAAGTATATTTAATATCAACTATTTATTATGAATTTATTATATATATGTGTCCTACGGATGATAGCTGAATAGTTGACGTACAGTTTATAGTTTATAATATTCCCAATGTACACATGTACATATTTTATGTGCTAATGGCTATTCGAAACTCGTTATTTTGCCAGTTATAATATATATTGTCAACAAATCACAGAATATTCAAGAACATATTCAAATCTATTAGCAGTGTCCTTCGGGATATCATCAATTGAACATCTAAACTGAATTTATGTATAGAATTGTTGTGTACAGAATTATTATATTCGCTCAAATATCCAGTAATATTTCTAAGTGAATATAACGATTAAAGTATTTGATAACTGTCAATTACATTAGTAAATTATGTATATAAGTCAAGGCTTGTGCATATTCGATAAATTATATACAGAATATAATTATAATGAGTTTTTCAATCCGAATATCTGTCATGTCTGCAAGAAGCCAAGTCAAGGAGAATTAATGCCATGTTATTGGTGCGGCATGATCTTTTATTGTTCCATGGATCATCAAATAATGCATCAACCCTCGCATACGGAAATCTGTGCAGTTGTTAGAATTGCAAAAACAGAAGACTTGAAATCGAACGCTCGTTCTTTTAACTCAGATGATGAATGGAGGTCATCTCGAAAGACATTTGTGCAAACAATTCGTTTGAAAATAAATCGTGATCTAATGCCGCACGAGATAGAGATGATAATGTGCGCAAAGTCATGTCTTATTTGTCACCAACAGATTAGACTGCGAACTTGCAGTACCTGCTATTCCGCCAATTATTGTGACGAGCACCAATTGTATTTTAAAGAAAAACACGAGTCAATGTGCTTGAATTTATTGGTACATCTGAATTTGAATATCTTACGTATAAATAACTTTATAAAATCGTATTCACATAATATAAAATTTTCCAGAATGAAAATAGATTTTGATAACATGTGTACATTTGTTAATCAATACATTGTTAACCAAAATAAACTGTGGAAAGTTTGGGATGCGAATTGTTACATATTGTCGAATTATATATCAGCGCCACTGACACTATATTACGGGTTAAAGGAATTCGCAAATTTATTTGCAGAAACACAGATTTATAGAGATGAATATAATCTTAACCGAGGTGGACGCTACAGAAGTTATTTCTTTATCGTACATATCATAGATGCGAGTTCAGCAGATGTAGCGGGCTTACCATCATGGGAGATTTTCTTACATATTTGGCATGAATTTAATTCGGTTAAGAAAATTAAGGAATTAAGACTTATACTGATTCAACCAGAAATGGATTGTGACAGGAGTAAATACTACAATGTTTGCACCAAATGCGTCGCAGCAAACAGGAAACTATACCTTGCGAATGCACGTGTGTCATATGACGATTATATTCGCACACAATTGTATAAAGAAGCAAATATCATAATTGCATTTCAAGCAGAATTTAGTTTAGCGGGGAGTGCACCGTTTGATATTTTTCGCGCAACACAAGATCGTAAATGTCCGTTTTTTTTCACCACTGCGTCACAAAATGAAGCAGAAGAAGGCATAAAGAAGTTACAAGAAGTAATGAATGTTCCTAGAGAACATCGTTCTGTAGAAAATAAATTTCGTAGTTATAGACCTTTCAGAAACTACGGGACTGGTGAAATTTATTATCGTAATGCTTATTTAGTTGTGTTCTCATGAACTTAAATAATACAAGCAAGACAACAAAACATTTAGTTAATATATAACAACGTCCGGAATTTTTTTCAGTTTGGGAACGATTTCGAAGTTACATTTACTTACTGTACTTCCCTTTTCCACTCTAACTAGTTCGCAAGGTCATAGGATTAATAATTGCATTGCTCTGCCTTAGGGCCATGACACACAAAATTACATAGACGCATATGCATAGCATAAGATCGCGATATTGATTATTAAGTTGCGATATTGATGACTGATGCTTAATTTTCGATGCCCATTGGTCTATACGATCTTATGCTATGCATATGCGTCTATGTAATTTTGTGTGATGGCCTTTATGGCCGTTTATATGAAGTTTATGTTGTAGGAATAAAATTTTAATCGGCTGTTGATAAGTGCCTCACATATGTTACACTATCAATGATCCTAAGGCTTCGTTCTTTAGCTGAACTGAAACGGCAAAGTGTACCTGAGCCCGACAAAAAATGAAAATCCGTTAATTTTCTCGTTAGTTTAATCTTCATTGTAATTTTATATTCTTATACTTGTGTTCCTATGCTTTGTTATGATTGTATTTGCAATTTAGTTATAATTGTATCCGCAATTTTTCAGCATTGTTGTTTATTACATGTAAATTTGATAGTATTCGAGTATAACTAATCTCTCTTTGTTGATAAAATATACAGTCATTGTCAAATATATTGCCTTGAATTTCTTTTCCTTTGAAAATGCGTAACATATGTTATAGAGGTTTAGTCTCGGTTTAATGATTATTATATCGTCAATGTGAAATAATTTTGTAATATCTTGCATAGTAGGCAAGATATACTATTTCAGAACTTTGAAGTTGCAATTTCTCAGACAACTAATTATTATGATAAACTGAGCAAACATTATAGAGGTCTTTTTGTATATGTGTTCATGTCCGCTTTGAAAGTGAATTTGTGTGTAACTGAATTTCAAAGCAAAATTTAAATATCCTTATAAGAAAAACAGAATAATTTTTTTGATAACATTAATTAATTAATTAATATATATGCACCACCTTATTTATATAAGTAAATAGTATATATTTTTACGTAAGTATATTTAATATCAACTATTTATTATGAATTTATTATATATATGTGTCGTACGGATGATAGCTGAATAATTGCCTTACAGTTTATAGTTCATAATATTCGCAATGTACACATGTACACATTGTATGTGCTAATGGCTATTCGAAACTCGTTATTTCGCCAGTTATAATATACATTGTCAACAAATCACAGAATAT